GATGCTTTGTTAAAAAATCAGAAACACCCTGAAGAATTGTTACAATGGACCTTAACTTGATGCATTAGGCTCTGTAGGTGACAGTTAAAAGTTTCTGAAAAAATACAGTTTGTTCCTTTACCACGTCTAGAGCACCACGTCAGGCGATGTGCTTAAGCACGGGGGCTGCTGATGGGAAAGAGGCAAGTAAAACCGTGATGACAGCACCAGGAAGCTACGGTCTGAGAGGTGTCCATGAGCTGAGTGCTGATGGACAACCGGAAATTAGCACCAGGAGGAAGGCTGAAGGAGGCATCATAGGTGAAAGCTTCAGTGTCCACTGGTATACCTGGAGTAAAGATGGAGAGTAGGCCTGGGAAGATAGACAAGACATTGATTAGAGGCCAGATGCAGTGGTTCACGCCTGTAATCCAGCACTCTGGGAGGCTGAGGCGAGAGGATCACTTTAGCTCAGGAGTTCGAGACCAGCCTAAGCAAGAGCGAGACCCCCGTCTCTACTAAAAATAGAAAAATTAGCCGGGCATGGTGGCACACATCTGTAGTCCCAGCTACTCGGGAGGCTGAGGCAGAAGGATCGCTTGAGCCCAGGAGTTTGAGGTTGCTGTGAACAAGAATCATGCCACAGCACTCTAGCCTGGACAACAGAGTGACACTCTGTCTCAAAAAGAAAGAAAGAAATTGATTAGGAAGGGTCATGTCATTAAACTGAAGGAGTAAGAGCTTCATCTGAGAGCTCTGGGAACAATGAAAGGTGGGAGGACACCCTGGGCAGACAGCATTGGAGGGATGATCCCGGCAGTACTTGGGTAGAGGGTGAAAGTAGAAACGGAAGTCCCTCAGGGACCCTATGTCATAGCTATGTGAGAAGCAATCAAAGCTGTCCCCAGTGGTAGGAGAATGAGAGGAAGGGGAGATTCAAGGAATTGGAAGAGGTAGACTCACCAGGACATGATACCTGATTGAATGCAACAGGTGCAACGAGAGGGAGGGATCCAAAATAATTAACATTTCTTTTTTCTGGCACGGGCAGCTGGCTACCTGTGACATTCATGAAAACAAGGGTTACAAAAAGAGACTGATGAGTTTGGCATTAGAATGCTAAGTAGGAAGGAGGCTATGAGGCAGCTCCCAGCAGAGGTCCGTGAGAGAGTGGACGGTCAGCGCCAGATGTCGAGGGCAGATCTGCATGGAGGAGGGAGAACTGGTGGCTGTCAGTTTGTAAGTGGCTGAGGACACTGAGGGAGACAGCAGAGGGCAAGAAAGGCAGGGGACCCAGAGGACATTTAGGGAGCAGGTGGAACAGGAGGTTTCTGTGGAGGAGATAGAAAAAGTGTCCAGGAAAGCAGGGTGGAAACCTAGAAAGAGTGGTACTACAGCAAGAGAGAAGCTCAAGGTATGGGAGTTGCCACAGTGTCAAAGGTCCAGAAAGACAAGGTCAGACCAAAAAAGAAAAGCAAAGCTTGATTTGCAGTATAGCTGTCTCTAGTGACTTTAGTCTGGGTAGTTTGGTCAGGGGAACAGAGTGGGTCAGGGGATATGAGTGAAAGGATATGTACAACTTCTGAAAGATAGTGTTTAGAAGGGGGCTGTTTGCCCTCCAACTCCTTTCCTCCTCTTCCCACAGACAGGAACAGAAGGTGGAGGTGATGTGGAGCCAGCTTGGGCTATGCAGAAGAGAGAGCAATAAGATGGAAGGAACCTGGGTTCCTGAATGACCATGTGGAGCAGAGTTGTTTACTTGTCCTGGACTGACCACCTACCTCTTAGCTATTATGTGAAAGAGCAATAATCTTCTGCCCTTTTTGAGCAAATGTATTCTGGGATCTTTCTGTTATAATTTAGCTTTTACCCTAACTAATATAGAGTGTTTCCCAAAGGCACAGATAATAATAATTTTAGTACTGATAGTAGTATTTATAGAAAGCTTACTATGTACCAGGCATTGTTCTAAACACTTTACGAGTGTTAATACTATCTCAGTTAATCCACACAACACTCCCTAGATGAGAGCCGCTATCCCTATTTTACAGAAAAGGAGGCACAGGAAGATGCAGGACTTTGCCTAAAGACTCACAGGTATTGGGTGTCCAAACCTGCAGTCAAACCCAAGTATTCTAGGGTACGAGATCATACTCTCAGTCATTATGATTTTCAAAGCATAACTTTTTACAATTCCATGTAGTCAAAAAGACATGGCTTAGTTTTCCAGAGAGCTGTGCCTGAATGCTAACCTCAAAATTACTGGAAGACCAAGGCAAATCATTTAGCTTCTCTGTAAGTCAGTTTCCTCCAAGAGAACATGGAAAGGAGACCCAATCTACAGACCTCACAGAGCTTCTGGAAGGATACAGCAAATTCAAGTATGTGTGAGAAATTCTTTGAGGGCTATAACATGTGGCATAAGTAAAATATTACCTTAAGGCAAGCTGGGAAATCCTTAAACCCAAAATAACAAAATGCATTTTATTTTTTTGTTTTTAATGCAAATACCATCTAGCAATTTGGCAGATCTCCTAGAAAGGCTGTGAAATCTGTCAAGGAGAGGGGTACATTTGTTTTTGTGCATCTGTCATGCTTAACTGAAAAAGGGAGATATTAATTGAAATTAATTAAAAGAGCACATCCCTGTGCACCTGGTGTGTGCACACACACACACGCACGCACACACACACACACACACACACACACACACACACACATGCAGAGGCTCTCAAGAGAAGAGAACCATTATTATCAAGACAGGAGGAGCAGCAATCTGCAATGCCCATGAGAACCAGGCAGGTACAGAAGTTGGGGGGGTGGGTCAAGGGGTGCAAGTGCTCACAGTGCAAGAGAGGTGGGAACTTTGGCAAACCAGAAGCTCCAGCTTCAACTTGCTCTGCTGAAAAGTGAGCCCCTGTTGCCAGACCTTTCACATTTATGTGTGAAATTTCCCAATTTTCCAAGAGTGCTCACATTTATAAATAAAACACGTCAGGGGCCACAAGTTGGCCTCATGGGATCCAGCACTGCAGCTGGAAGTGACGTCTGACTCTTTAAGAGGCTTCCTCATAATTATGTAAAAGCTACAGTGTAGCTTTCTGCAGCTAACTCCACCCTGCCCTATCCGGCCCTGCCCCACCCCACCCCTCGCCACCCTCCCCTTCCTTCTTCCCCAGCTTCACCCAACCCCTTCGGTGAAGCCAACCTTCCTATTTCTTCCTACTCCCGGCCTCTCCTTCCCTTCCTTCTGGCTTGCACCCAGTTGCCTTGAAGGCACAAAGCAGCTTCCCTCCCCTGCATGCCAATCAATGCCAACCTTCCTCTTTCTGCCAACTTAATCTCAACCTGCTGCCCTCCTCTAGCATACAGATAACTTTTGCAGTTTTGCATGGTTCTTATGAAGCACGGTGGACTCATGTTAGCTCTCGATCATCGGTAGCAAAGGAGGGCAGCAGGGAAGCACAGAGAAGAGACCCTCAAAGTCACCTGGCTCTGCCTTTAGCATTGGGCAGCACACAGGTCTGAAGCAGCTGCAGTCTCCTGTGCCCCATTGGTGTCAGTGCCCCAGATGGAGGCTGAGACACGCTAACTTGTGGCCTGAAGAAAGCCTTGGAGAAGATTTACAGAGCTCTGCCTGTGGCTCCATAAATTAATATAACTATATTAGAGACAGAAATGGTTTCAGGAGTTTTGCAGAGCTTTGCCCTGAAGGAATATGTGAACGTGTTAGTTTGCATATCAAAAGCTGCTTCACCTCAGGAGGGCAAATCAAAGGTCAGTGGCAGCTGCTTTCCAAGGTGACCCACTGCAAATCTCAGACCTGTGGCTCTGGCTTGCTTTGAAAGCAGGTCTGCTAGGAGCCACAGGATGAGAGCTGATCAAACAGTGCCCACCCCGAGAGACAGCCACCTGTGGCTAAAAACAATAAGCCCAAGGGACAGTTCCTGCTTGACTTATGACTACCTGTCTCCATTTGCAATTACTTGATAAAAAAAATATGGAGCCACTGTATCTCTGTTTAACCCTTCTGTTAAGTGATAAATTTACCTTAGAACTTAGAAGTTTGTCTTTGAAAGATTTTGTAACCATTTGTTCACATAGATAGAGTTAGTTAAGGGATCTAAAGAAGCCTTTTGAAATACTTTCAACTTAAAACGAACTTCCTGTTATTATGTAAACCTGTTACCCCTGGCAACCGATCACTGTACCTATAAATACCCATGTAAAACTTCACTGGAGGCCTTGTGATTGACGGGGATATCATAAGGACCCCTGAGTACCCCCGCTTTTGTCTTTTATCTTCATAAATCTATAAAACTATACCTTTGTCTCTGTGTATTCTTTTATTTTCATTATTTTCCATTATTTTCTTATCCTTTGGGACAACCCCTACCTAAGGGACCCGATTTTTTGCTGGGAGCGTAGCTACCTCCCCGCATCTGCCTCCAGTCCACGTGGGGTGACCAGCTTGGCCGCAGCCGCACCTCCACCTTTCATTCCCCAAAGGCAGGCAGGGGCCTTTGAGCCCTGTAGGTGTGCAGGAAACGCCAGCCAGCTGGTAGCCCATGTCTGCCACAGCCTGGGGTCCCAGGCCCCCATCGCCACCCCCAGTTTGGGCCATTAGGGCCATCACCTCGTCCCCAGCAAGCCTGTGGCTCAAAGGCTGACTGTTTCCATTTCACTTTCTTTGCTTTCACCACGACCTTGGGCTTCTCAAGGGCAGTGACATGGACGAAAAGGCCCTCACAGGAGGGAGGAGAGGAGGAGAAATACCACCCACATCTGATGCATTACGTCAGTCATCAGGCGCTACCTGTCACGAGCTGTGCCACAACTTTTCAAGGAGAGGAACAGACCGGCCCCAGTGGAGAATTTCAGGGAATTTTCTGCACTGCTAATTGGCTTTGCCCTGCCAGCACCCCAAGGCAGGCTCTTGGTTCCTCTGGTGTGGCGGGGTGTGCGATGTCGCTTGGGGCAGAGGGAGGGGCTGTGCTGTGTTCCCTTCCCTCCTCACTTACTGTTTGTTTGGGACGTCTGGACTAGGGCTACACACAGATCTTCTCTTTGTTTCCACAGCCTTGCAGAATGTGTGCTTCGCTTAGAAAGGCATAAAGATCCCCTTTCTTCTGCTTGCCTGCGCCACCCAGGGTTGCTCTGCAGGGCTCGGGTCTGCAAGCCTGGGCCAGCCCCGGGGGCTGATTGTGGCAGCTCTCTGCTCCCACAGCCTGCGCTCACGTGACCTCCTCGGCAGGCAGCCTGCGCCGGTTCTTAAAGCTGCAGAGCTGCTGGTGGCTGGCTAGACCCTGCAAGCCAGGTTCTCCCTGCAGGAGGTAGCCTGCCCTCCCTGGGCAACGGGGTGGCATCATGCAAGCACTTGGCTGACATCATCTGGGTACTTCTGAAAAATCCTGCTGCCCCGGTCACGGCCCCAGAAATTCTAATGTAATTGATTTAGGGATACAGCCTGGGCATTAAGGATTTTCAAAATTCCCCAAGTGATTCTAAAGTGCAGCCAATCTTGGGAATCACCATCTACGCTGCTCAGACTTCCTGAATCGCTCCGGGATCCTGTGAAACTGCGGATTCCGACCCAGAAGTGCTGGAGTCAGCGAGATTCTGCATTTCTAACAAGCGCCCACATTATGCAGCTGCTGGTCCGTGGGCCACACTGCGAATAGCAGGGGAGACGTTTCAAGCTTAGATTTGCATGCTGCCGCCCACTTAGTGGCCTTGGTAAGTTTCTCTCTAGGCCTCAGTTTCTTCCTCATTCACGTTGGTAGGCTGTTTGGAGGAGTAACTGAGATGGTAAGTAAGCACAAAGCGCCAGAACAGTACCCAGCACTCAGGCAGTGCTCAAAACATGTTGGCTGTTGCATGATTTTCTGCGGGATGCCTCCTGCAAGGTGAAAACTGGTTTTGCTTTCTTCAGATCTTTCTCCTGCTTCGCTCTGGACGCAGTACAGTTGACCCTCGAACAACATGAGGGTTGGGGACACCGACCCCCAAACCATTGAAAATCCATGTATAACTTTTGACTCCCCCAAAACTTCACTACTATTATAATAGCCTACTGTTGACCAGAAGCCTTATCAATAACAGTAAACAAGTGTTTTGTATGTTATATGTACTACATACTGTATTCGTACAATAAAATAAGCTAGAGAAAAGGAAATATTATTAAGAAAATCATAAGGAAAACATATTTACTGTTCATTAAATGGAAGTGGATCATCATAAAGGTCTTCATCCTCCTCATCTTCATGTTGAGTAGGCTGAGGAGGAGGAAGAAGAGGGGTTGGCCTTGCTGTCTCAGGGGTGGCAGAGGCGGAAGAAAGCTCGTGTAGAAGCGGACCTGTGCAGTTCAACCCTGTGCTCTTCTAGGATCGACTGTATTAAGCCCAAACACCACATGAGGCCCTTCAGGAAACAGCACCTGGCGGCCCCTGGGCTCCACCTTCGCGCCTCTCGTCTCTGTACCCACACCCCCCAAACACAAGCCACTCACCTGAGCGCATCGCAGGCACTTCTCTCAGCTCCAAGCCTTTGCATGTCCCTTCCCAGGCCTAGTTATTCTTCCCACTCTCTTCCTCCACCTGGCTACCTTCTTTTCCCTTCCCTTAGGACTTGGCACAGGTGTGACTTCCTCTGGGCACCTTTCCTGGCTTCCAAGACCACGTGCGGTGCTGCCTCTGTGTTCCCAGCAACACTCGACGCTTCCCTTCCCGAAGCTCTTACCCGTAGGCATTGCCAATGTCGACTTACTTGTCTGTCTGCCTCCACTGCCTGTAAGTTCAGGGTGGGCAGGGCCTGTCTTGCTCACCGCCAAGTTATCAACTGACTCATAGTAAGTGTTCAATAATATTGGCATGAGTGAGTGAATGAATGAATGAATGGGTTTAAGTAAAAGGTCTCTTTCATCATAGAATCAGAAACGTCTATGTCATGCAGCCTCACCCACGCAGGGTGCTGTCTCTGACCTGCTGGACCCTAAGGCATAGCTCTGCAAAGGTCCACAGTGACCACTGCCACCCGTCCCACGTGCTCTCCAGCCCCAGCTTGCCTGCAGAGCCCTCGTGTCTAAGTTGCTCTGTTTGGTGTCATGTTTCCAGAGAGTTAAATAAAGTAAATAGAAAGGTAGTTATTAGATTGGTGCAAGGTCACAAAGGAGGAGGATCCCATCTATCATGTTAAACTTTATTAGACAAGAGCCAACAGACAGAAGCAACTCAAGTGTCCATCAGCAGATGAGAGGATAAACAACACATGGTATATACATTGCATAGGAGTATTATTCAGCCATCAAAAGGAATGAAATTCTGATACATGCTACATACAACACGAATGAAACTTAAAGACAGCCATAGTCTGCGTGTTTGTGCCCCTCCGAAATTCCTATGTTGAAGTTCATATGTTGAGCCCTCTTGATGAGACTGGTGCTCTTTTATAACAATGCACAGAGAGCTACCTTGTCCCTTCCACCACGTGAGGACACAGCAAGAAGGTGCCATCTGTGAACGAGAAAGTGAGCCCTCACCAGACTTTGAACATACCAGCACCTTGATCTTGGACTTCCCAGTCTCCAGAACAGTGAGAAATAAATTTCTGTTGTTTACAAGCTACCCTGCCTGCGCATGGCATTTTGTTACAGCAGCACGAATGAACTAAGACAAAGCCATGAAGCTAAGTGAAATAAGCCAGACACAAAAGGACAAATATTGTACGATTCCACTTAGATGAAGCACGTAAAGTAGGCAAGTTCATAGAGACAAAAAGTAGAAGAGTGGTTACCAAGGGCTGGAGGGAGGAGAAGGGGAGTTATTTCTTGATGGGTACAGAGTTTCTATTTAAGATGATGAAAAAGTTCTGGAAATAGGTAGTGGTGATGGT